AAAACGAAACAAAAGGAGACACGAATAACCACAAGCTCGAAACCCTAGAAAATCATCACGGAGAACGACCGAAAAAGAACCCTAAGTGTGTGAACTAAGATTTTGAAGAAAAAGTAACTTATCTTTTCTAAGCCGGCGAAACATCCACTCGGACCGCCGCGGATCCGAACCCACGAAGAATCCATCTCCGACGCCGTCGTCACAAACTTCGGTAAAATTTCACCCTTGATAAAATTATTGAGATTTTTAATTGTTCTGTTAGCGTTTCAGGTTCACGATACGGCGGAAGAGATGAAGGAGAATGGAGAGATCGAATTGGATGCGTGTTGTGATCGATTTGGGAAAGGGAAACAAAGGGGCTAGGGTTTATGCTTCGTTTCTTTTTGCTTTTTGTCTTTGTCTGTGTAATTGCACCTTGATTTCCACACACACCACGACACCTCACATGGTCCTCACCATTAATCTTTGCTAATCACGTTTAATCACTCTAACCTTTGTTTTCATCTTTTTTAAACTAAACTAATTGATCTTTTTCTAATTAAACTAGCAACTCTTTAATTAATCATAATCCATTTTATCTTTCTACTTATTTAGTTAATTCACCCCCTTTTTTAATTATTTATTTCACCTTTATTTCCAATTTAATCAACCTAAAAAGAACCTTTCACTTAAAAAGAAAATAAACAACTCTTTTTAAAAATCCTCTTAATTCATATTAAAAAAAATCTTTTGCTAATTAATTTAAATTACCTTTTTTCAACTCAATAATAAAGTATTTATTCACTATAATAAAAAATATTTTATAACTTATAATCTAAATATCTCTTAATATTAACTTTCTAGGAGTATATTAAAATAACTTTTATTAATTAATTTCTCATGTTAGATTTATTTTAAAAAAATTATTATCTTACCTAATAAGTAATCGCTATAATATCCCATTCGACTTTAGACCCTGATAATATATTTGATTTCAACTAAAACCAATTTCATAATGAATCTCAATCAATTAAATCAGCAGCGTAAAACTTAACTTAATCGTGCACACTCACTTCATGACACATTCATCTACACTTCAGCGCTTTCATGCGTACGTGTATGTTTATTTATCTGCCTTATTTCGCAATTTGTATTTCCGCATTTACATCATTACTGTATTTATATTCATGCATCGCATTCCGTCCAAAGGAAAAACCTACACATAATTCAACGTTGTGTGTAGTTGCACATCATTTGCATCGTATTCCCTTCGATCCTTGATCCCATCCAAGTTGATCGCTTAAGTTTAGGACCTACCCCATAGGAAGGACCTTAATCTTTACAACTTAGACAAAACAATCAACACAATACAAACTTTTCAAACACAATAGAGAATAGATGTTAATCATCTTAAGTGAGATATAATCTCCACCCCTCCACAACAATACAATCAAACATGTAGGGACTTTGCCTTAAGAGCGACAAAGGCATACTCGGCGACCATCCGAGTATTTAAGACCTTTTCTTAAGACGATGCAAAGACCATTTCCTACAACCCCTCTTACATTTGTGGTGGTTATATCTCCCTTAACATGAAGACTCGTCTCTTCTCCTAAACCCAATCAAAACAACTACCCTAAACCCGTAGGAACTTTGACCACAGTCAAAGAGCTCCTCTAACCCTTTAGGGGAACTACAGATACTCTGATTCCACTCCCGTAAGGATATGTAGGCATAAGATGCGACATCTTATCGAGTATACTTAGAAATAAACCCCTAGGTCTTTAAACCATTAAGCAGATAAACACTTAGCAATAAACAAACATAAAATAAGAGGTTCTTGTAGAGTACTACAGAAACTTAGGATGCTAGTACCTTCCCCAAGTTTAACCGACCCCCAAACCTATAACTCTCTAAGCTTGCATTTGCATTGCATTGTGGGAATTTCGATCTTTATCCCTTCCTTTGGACAAATCAAAGTTCAGTTGCAAAATTGAATTAAAGATTCAAACTAATCAATAGTTTGGTATCCAAATTTCACTGCGACACACCTCCTCAAGAGGAGATGGAAATAAGCCATGTATGCGTGTGATGAGCACCTGTCCTCGATATAAACACTTGACCAACCTCGTCGCCAGCCACAGACGAAGCTCACTAGCAAGCACAATTAATGGCTTTTATGTCTGATCCCAAACAGCCCCGCGAGCTCAACACCTCGAGCCCGAGCGACACACCGGATAATCCATCATCGACACAAGAGTTGACTCTTAAGTCATTACTCCTACGCTTCGGAGCAACGACTTGGGGGGATCCTGTTCTGGACTGGGCCAAAGGCTGGCCCACCGTCGGGCACAACCCAACCTAACTCATCGTCGAGGAGGGGCCAATGAAGGCCCAATTCATCATCCCACACGGGAGCTCTCACGCGTCTCCCTCACGGTCTCCCCACGTGGGGACACGCCATCAGACAACTATCGGCGTCCGAAAGAACATGTCACTCACCTTCCGAAGATCACATAGCAGTTGACCCAGAACGAAGACCACGTGCTGGTTTTCCCTACGCCACGTAGATCCTGTCAGTTATTCGTATTGGGCCTAACGATTCGATCTAATGCAAATAACCGTTGACCCAGCGCTAGGGACACATTATAAATACTAATTTTCTTTAGAGGGTCATGTATTCGATTCTCTACGCTTTCTGTACTTACTTTCACTTTACTCTGTTTCTTACTTTGACATCAGTGTATCTTGCAAATACACCCCCTCCTCTTCACCACCACTAGCAAACTAAGAGCATACGACGCGTTGTTGGCTACTGATCTCATTATGGTCCTATATGACAATAATAATATTAAATAATTAAACGTTTGAATTGATTTAATTTTGATTTTACAAAAACTGAATAAATATACAAATATATTAAATTATATATATATATATATATATATATATATATATATATATATATATATATATATATATATATATATATATATATATATATATATATATATATATATATATATATATATATATATATGAGAAGTTATAAAACTTAATTTTTTTTTTGAGAGAGGTTCTAAAATAACTTAGACCAACTCCAACCGTTGGTTTCTCACAAGTTGCTCCAGCGTGGCAAACAAAAAGTGTAGTTTCATGCTGGTTGAAGTGGCAAACAAAAAGTGTAGTTTCATGCTGGTTGAAGTTGGTCATGCTAACAAACGTAGTAATGCAATGTAACCGTTACTTGAATAAAATAATAATATAACTGAAAAGTAACTCACATTAAATAATAATAAAATTGAAAAAAAGATAACTTAATAATGAAAAATTAACTTACATTAAATAATAATAAAATTGAAAAAATGTCATGTTACCGGTGTTGAACTAATCAATTTTTTTTATTTTTTTCAATACTTTGGTTAATTACAAATAAACAATATAAAAAAATTTCACACAAGTTTTCTCTCACTTTTATTTTTTTTCACAATTTCATCATTTTACTCTTCATTTGCAAAATTTTAAATAAAGTAAAATTTAATATGAATAAAATATTAATATATAAAGTAAAGTTGTAAGATCTAATATAACTTCGGTAGAATTGCACTATTGAAGTGAAAATTGAATGAATTGCTTAAAAATGATGTGTCTTGATGGATCCTAAAAAAAATCCTAAAATAAGTTGCACCATGCTCTTACATAGTGAGGTGTAAGGCGTATATCCATTAAATACTAAAAGCAAACTCTACAATATACTACCACAACAACATTAAGAAATGATTACAATACATTAAAACTCTTATCAAAACTTAGTAACCATCCTCCTTTTATCTAAAAAAAGAAGAATAAAAAAATTACCCAAACCTAATTATACAATACATCCAAAATATGAATTCATGTAATTTGGTTGAAGAAGACAAAGCACCAACATATATTAAGAAAAGGAATAAAAAACATTTTGTTACTGTTTTAGTGTAACGAAAATCCAGAACCAATGGGCGGGAATAACGCACACTTCATTTGAAAAACACAGAAACAAACAAGAAAAACAACAACCACGGTCTCTCTCAACGTTAATTATCACCACCAAATCTCTGCAAAGTAAAAACAAATAGATTAATATTATTATCATTATTATTATTAACATCGAACTTTTTAGTTGTCTTTTAGTTTTTTCCGCACATGGTCCTACGCATGCTATCCTCATCTCTCTCTTCTTTCTCACACACACATTATTTCTTTTTTTATTATTTAATTATTATTATTTATTATTATGAATTATGAATTATATAAATTATGAATGTTCCGATGATGTTTCTTTGAACTCTCTGAAAAATTCCTCTGACATAAAATTCTCCGATCTTCGTTTTCCTTCTCTGCAATGCATTTTTTATACACAGGAAAGTAAGGTACTATTTTATCATATTCTCACTCCTGTCACTTTCAATTGAAATTGAACCAGAACTAGGTTTCTCTCTCTCTATGATTTCACTTCTTTTTTTTTTTTCAGTTTTTTTTTTTTTGGGAATTCTTTACTGAAATTGTTTGTATTGATGTGGTTATGGTAGGTGTTAAGTTGTTACAATTTTTGTGTGTAAAGTAAAAGCAATGGAAGATTTCAATTTTTATTGTTATTTTTAATTTTGATTTTGACGTATGATATTAATAACAATAAAGAGTGACGGTGATTCTGAATTCAAAGCACTATCCTTATTTGGGAAGCTTCACTACTTGGGTAAAATGGAGGTAGATAGATATGAAAATCAATTGAATTTGAATTGAATTCTAAGCAAAGTTCATAACTAACACCACCTTCTGATTATTTTATTCTATATTTGATTGATTCCTGTTTTTCCCTTGTTGTTATTGTTGTTGTTCTTTTTTTGTTTTCATTTTGATAATTGAGATTTGGTTTTCATGGATTGAGGAGTTATGAGTTTCTGTCTTGATTTGATGATTTTGTAGGTGAAATCATTTTGAGGAAGTAAGGTAGGTGGTGGTGGTTTTCGGTTGTGTTGCCGATGGACAGGAGGAGTTGGTTGTGGCGGAGGAAGTCGTCTGAGAAAAGTCCAGGCGAAACGGAGAGTTCAGGATCAGTATCATCTCTCTCAGAAAGATTTTCTGATGATCAGGTGATATAACAGTAATTTAATTTACGCTATTTTCCTCAATTTTGATTGCTATGTTAGATTGTTTGTAAGGTGGTTTCTAAACATCTAGGAAACACGAAAACAATAGTCATTGCTTTACACGTTTTTCATGTTCCTTTCTGATTTTTGATCCCATGTTGTGAATGTGAAGGTGTATCTGAGCCAAGCTACTCTATCACCGGAGGTAACATCGAAGGCTGCATCAATTGAAGAAGTTAGTACACCGAAGAAATATAAAGAAGGAGTTATCGACGTGAAGACTCTTACAAACGAGTTAGCTGCAGCTCTGCTAGACATTAGTGCCAAAGAAGATTTGGTAAAGCAGCATTCTAAAGTTGCTGAAGAAGCTGTCGAAGGTATTTACGGTTTGGACCAGATGCTTAAATCTCAGATTCTTCATGTTTTAGGGAAGTTTAACTCAAATTATTCTATAATATATGTGCTTTTCGTTTTATTTAGGCTGGGAGAAAGCTGAAAATGAAGTGTCGTCTTTAAAGCAACAACTCGATGCTGCGAGGCATAAGAACTCGGGTCTTGAAGACCGAGTTAGTCACCTTGATGGAGCACTCAAAGAATGTATGAGGCAGCTTCGCCAAGCTAGAGAAGTGCAAGAGGAAAAGATCCTTGAAGCTGTTGCGAATAACTCTCATGACTTGGACTCCAGAAGATTTGAACTCGAGAGGAAAGTTGCTGAACTTGAGACTCAACTTCAAACATCAAAAGAAGATGCTGCTGCATCTATTCGTTCCGATTTTCACAGGAGGCTCGAGGCTATGGAGAAGGAGAATTTGAGTCTTCAGCTTGAGCTACAATCTCGACTCGAGGAACTAGAATTTAGGATTGCAGAGAGAGATTTGAGTAGCCAAGCTGCTGAAACAGCTAGCAAGCAGCATTTGGAGAGCATCAAGAAGGTTGCTAAGCTTGAAGCTGAGTGCCGTAGACTGAGAGCCATGACTCGTAAAACATTTAATGCGAATGATACCAGGTCTTGGACTGCATCTTCGGTTTATATCGAGTCCTTCATAGATAGTATGTCAGATGGGGGAGAGATGAATGAATATGAACCAAGCTGCTCCGACTCGTGTTCATCTGCTTTGATTAATGAACTTGATCAATTCAAGAATAAAAAGACTGCCGAAAAAAATCATATCGCGACTTCAACTGGGATCAATCTCATGGATGATTTCCTTGAGATGGAAAGGCTTGCTGCGTTGCCTGATACAGAAAGTGGAAGCCATTCTGCTAAGGAAGGACTTGGATCAGATCAATCTATTGTTGGTCAGGGTGCAATAGAAGCCGAAGTGGAAGCTATGACACAAAAGAACGCCGAATTGGAAAAGAAGCTGGAGAAAATGGAGGCAGATAAACTCGAGGTAGAGATGAATTTAGCCGAGTGCCAAATGCAGCTCGAGACATCAGAGAGTCGGATAAGGGCCGCAGAGTTAAAGGTCGAAGAGCTTCAAACTCAGTTAGCTCTAGCGAACAAGTCTAATCAAGAAGCATACGAAGAACTCAAAGAAACCAAAACCAAGAAGGAGATAGTTGAGTCAAAACTCAAACTTGCTCAAACCGAGGTAGAAGAACTTATTTCAAAAGTCCATTCGTTCGAGGAAGAGATTCAGAAGGAACGAGCTTTGTCTGCTGAGAATTCGATCAAGAGCAGGAAGTTGGAAGATGAGCTTTCAAGAATGAAGCACGAAGCTCAAGTTCATCAAGACGCCAAGAATTTGCACAAGGAAAATGTTAATCGCAATTTGAAGTCAAAACAGGTAAATTCACCAATTACATTCACTACGTTAATTAATCATATCGCGATATTCAATTTATATTTTTCCATATAAAAAACATATCATCTTTTATTTTCAGGATAAAGAACTTGCATTGGCCACTAGCAAGTTTCTTGAGTGTCAAAAAACCATTGCATCTCTCGGAAAGCAGTTAAACTCGCTTGCAACCTTGGAAGATTTTCTACTCGATTCAGACAACAAGCCTATGGAGTTAACTTCTGAAGTTGAACAATTGAAACTAAACCACACTGATTTGAGTTTGTCTAAAAGAGATTCATTAAACTCATCTATTACTACTAATGAGAAAAGCCGTAACGGTTTCGCTAAGTTCACACCAAGAAGCAAAAGTGTGAGCAGGATTCGTTGAAAAATTGTGAAAAGGTGGAAAAAGATGATAAGGCTGAGTTGTAAATTTTGGTTTTGTTCATTCTTATCAGCTTTGGATTTAAAGTGGATGAATTGAATCCAAAGTTATGTATCTTCATAAATAGCAATGTTTGAACTTTGAGGAATATTGAAATGGTTACAAAACAAAAGTATACATAAAAAGTCCAAATTATAGAACGTTTGGTAGTGGCTCTTGGTATATAATTTCAATAATTTAACAACTAGTAGTAGGTATCAATTATCATCCTAGATTCGAGGGGAAATTATTTGTACTCGTCATACAACGATGTTTTGAACTAAAAAACAGAAAAATATAATTGAACTTCAGTCTTGTTCGGTTTGGGACATGTTTAGGTGGGAGAAAAAAGAATAAAAGAATGTTATGGGGTGAGAGAGGCTCGAACTCTCGACCTCAGGATTACTCTTAGCTATGAGACCTACGCGCTAGCCAACTGCGCCACCACCCCATTGATGACAAATATTAGACCTTATATTATTTACTTTTTATTGAATCATTTGAAGCAATTGAAAGAAAAAAGAGGTTTGTGGGTGTTTGAATTGAAGCCTTGTATTAGTTGTTATGGCCCCAGGCCAGCCTCAAGATCTAAAAAGTCCCACAAGTCTCCATGTGTGCGTTATTCTTGGAGTAACATGTGTAACGTGGCCAATATGTGTTCATAATAACTTACACAATTGCAAATCATGTCACATTATTTGGTTTCTTTATTTTTATTTTAGAGAGAAACTATATTAAAATTAAAACTAGTCTTATAATATTTATTTCACTTTTTACAAATGCTAATAGCTCCTCCTACCCCACACTCGTGAGTGATGAGCTGGCCGAATAAAAAAACTGGTTGCACGTAGGAACGACCTCGTGTTGGAAAGTGGGGCCCTCTATTCTCTAGAAACTCTACAGCAACAATCAACAGTTATATTGAGGATTTTAAGTAAAAAACAAGTCTTGTAATTACAATTCAATGTGTGGCTGTAAATGTATTGGATGTGTTACTTTTAAAATCCAAAAATTTTAAAATAAAATTCAAACAAAATATAAAGATAATTAGAAAAGAACAAATGATTTGATTAATATATAAGCTTTAAAGTTGAAAGGCAAAGAAAATAAAGAAGGGATGACCGAAGAAGATTGAAATGTAAAGATAACTATTTTTAATAAAGATTGAGTTGAAGAAATTTTTGCTGAGTGTTTGTTAAGATAGGAGAAATTAGTTAGTCATTGTTTTAAAAGTTGGTTATTAGTTTGTTTTAGTAGCTTATTTGCAACAACTAATGTTGTGACGTATAAATATAGTCATTGTCCTTAATAGAAGAAACTATCATTTTTCTCTTTCAATCGTATAAGTCGTTTTCTTTTCTTCTATCTTAAGTTTTTATTTTTTCTAACAAATTGGTATCTAGAACTTTTATCGATCCTAGGGAATTTGTGAGTTTTTAAAAGACATCAAGCATGGTGGGTAATGGAAATTTTGCAACACATTTACTAGTTCTCGATAGCAAGAATTGGGAGAAATGAGTAACTCAAATGAAGGTGGTTTGGGGGCACAAGATATTAGTGACATGGTCGAAATGGGACTTTAACCTTTACCTGCATCTGCATCAGCATCACAGAAGAAGGCTTACAAGGAAGATAACGAAAGAGATTACAATGCTTTATTTCTCATTCATCAAAGTATTGAATTCAAGGTGTTTGGGAAAATTGCTAGTGAGACCTATTCCAAAGCAGCACGAGACAAGCTTGAGAGATACTTTAATGGTAATGCTAATGTCAAGAAAATCAAGCTTTAAGTATTGAGGAGGTAACTCGAGTTGTTACAGATGGAAGATGATAAGAAAGTGATTATATCTCGAGATTGCTAACCTTAACAAACCATATGGAGCAATGTGGTGAATCTCTCAATGAAGTGAAAATCATTGAGAAAGTATTAAGGACATTGTCTCCCTTCTTTGATCACATAGCGGTGACCATTGAAGAAGCTAAAGATCTAGATAACGTGAAGATTGAAGAATTACAAAGTACACTTGAAGCACATGGGATGAAGGTAGCTGAAAGAGAAACTGAAAAAAGGATGAACAAACGCTTCTTGCAAAATCAAGAAGTTAGAAGCAAACAAAGAAAAATGGATGAATAAAAGCAATAAGTCCAAGAATGGTGAAGACAAGTCTGAAACTTCAAACAAAAATGATGAAAGGTTTGTCAAACTTCAAAACAAGAAGAAAACCTTTGATAAAAATATGGTTAAATGTTTCAAATATGGTAAGATGGGACACTACGTAGAGGATTATTGGTTTGGAAAACAAAAGAGGCCAAAGATTGTGAAGAATAAGCCAATATTTCTCAAGAAAACTCAGACTCAGACTGAGATCCAATTATGCTAATGGTTGTAACTGATGTTGAGATATCAAACTTCTTGACACAGGTTGTTGCAACCATATAACTTGAAGAAGACACTGGTTGATTGACTTTGATGCAAGAAAGAAGACAAGCATCAAATTGTTTGATAAAAAATCTATCATAGCTGAAGGAATGAGACATGTTTCCATACAAAATAGGGATGGTAAACCAGTTGTGGTCAAGGATGTATTGCTTGTACCCGATATGTAGTGCAACTAAGTATATGGAAACTAATGAATAAATGATTTTCTGTGCTCGTGGAGGAGGATTGTCTAAAGCTCTTTGGTCACACAAAAAATTGATCTTGAAATCCTATTTGTCAAGAAATATAACTTTCAAGGTATGTGATCGCGACTTTCTGAGTCTAACGTAACTAATTGCAAGTGCACAGTCTGTCGTGTAGTAATAAAGATATCGATCCCACAGAGACCAGTAATCAAACTAGTGTTATTGGGTGTTACTATGTTTAGCTAAGGCGGGAGATATTTTTAGGAAAGTAAATGCAAAATTAAGAGCTGTAAAGGAAATAAAAGTTATAAGTTTTAAAATTATCGATAAGGGATATCGGTATGCAACGCTTTAGTTATCGGGGATTCGACAGGTCACCGGTGCTTTTAGCTTATGCAATCACTTTTCAGGAGAAAATATTTGTTTAAAAACCTTTGCCTTACGCTGGTTGTTGACTCTGGTCATAATTCTAAGGCAGAATGTATGCTCTCGCAATCCCATTCGGGGTTTTAATTACTTTTTAAAAATAAATAAGTTCTTATTTCTTTTAAAGTGCTTTCGCTGTGTTTAAAATCAATGCCTAGTTTTTACTATCCGGTTCAAACCCCACGCTTTCACGTGTCGGCTCGAACCTTAATAAGTTTCCCACTCTCATGGCAAAATCGTTGTAAATAGCTTCTCACTTTCGTGACAAAGGTTTATTTAGAAAATTAGATTAAAAACTACGCCCAAAAAATTGTTTGTAAATTATCGAATCTCGTCCTACTAATTCGATTACATACTATAATAGTGGTTTAGCTAGATATGATAATTAATGCAAACGTAAATGAATAATAACAGTAAAATAGTAAAGCATGCATACTGACAGGAATAAAATATATATTCAATTAATAAGAACCTGCAAGTAGTACCGATATTGGATTCTCGAGTAGTCCTCGACAATGTCGGCAGGATTCTACATTGGTAAAATAAAGGTGCAGAATGGAAATGGAAGTAGTATGAATTAAAGGAAAGGGAAAAAGGAAATAACAACAACAATATAAAAATGGCTTCAGCAGGTGATTTTGCAGCACATCGGTACGTAGAATGAAACTCTCTTCTTTGGTCCAACTGCCCTCTTTTTATAGCTCAGGTTGCAATGAGGAAAGGTCGGAGAAAAAAGAGTTGAGGGAGAGAATTCTCAGGGAAGTCGTGCCTACATTTTCTCCCTTTCGTGGGCATGTTCTGTTTTGTAACGTTCTTCTGATATTTGGACCGCGACGGTCGTGGTGCTCTTGTGACGGGCGTGTTGGTCGTGACGACCGTGACAGTCATGGTGCATTATGACGACCGTCACTCTCCCAAAATCTGCTTTTCTGCTCTTTTCTAGTTTTCTTTCTCCCTTTTTGTCTCTTTATTGTGTTCTTTTCTATGTCTTGCTCATTTTAAGTGTGAGAATGAGATACCTGCAAAAACACTTAGAAAACTTGTGAAATAATCGGGACTCGGGTTGAAATCATACAGTTAACAAATGAAAAATACGGCAATTGTGATGTACATTTTCGCGTTATCAAACTCCCATACACATGAATCCTTGCTTGTCCTCAAGCAAGTAGTTGGAAAGATAGACCAATGCAAACACGTGGCACACCCTTTTGCGTTTTCAAAAATGCTTTTGATGCGTTTGGTTAGGACGTTAGAGATTAAATTAAAATAACATGTATACGGTAGTGACACAAAACGGTAAGTATGCTCGAAGGACTCCCTTTTATGCAAGCCAGTTCTAATCATTCTACTATAGCTCGGCGTAAGGTTTCGCGTATCAAATTTCGCCCAGTTTCGTTCTAGCGCAATCACATTAAGCTTTTTGCCTTTACACGCACGTAGTGGAATAGCCGGTTAGTGAATTTTTTTGATCCTTTTTTTTAGTATGGGGTCTGGTGCACGATTGTGGTACCCTTCAATATATCCTATTTGTAAGTTGTGAGGGATCGAATCGTAATTCTCCCTACCGAGTCCATAACCAGGAACCTATGAACCAACCGATAACATATTTCTTTTTTTTCTTTACTTTTCTTTTTGTTTTTCCGAACGGCAGAAGTGAAGATCACTACACAGTTGCGGGACAATTTCTTTATGATTTAGGAATCAATCATTTATTTTCATCGGCTTTCCACATGGTTTGTGCTTAAGACGGTGTTGACTGCTTGTATAAACTACTAGGGGTTACGTTTGGGCTGAAACTTAAGGCTTCAGTATAATAGGTATTGAAACTGAATCGCATACACAGGAGGTCCACGGTGTCAGGACGGTATCAGTCTTGGTAGAATTCGTTCCCAAGATTTCCTAATCCGGCCTTT